GTGGGGTCCTTCATGATGCAGGTGGCCCTCTTCCTGCATCTGGAGGTGTAGATGTCTGTGATGGTGGGGAGACTGATTCCAACAGATTTCTGTGCAGCCTTCACCACTCTCTGCAAAGCTTTTCTTTCTGCAGCTGTGCAGCCTCCATGCCACACATTGATGCTGGAGCACAGGATGCTCTCCACTGCACACCTGTAGAAGGAGGTGAGGACTGAGCTTCCCAGACCAGCTCGCCTCAGCCGTCTGAGGAAGTAGAGTCTCTGATGAGCTTTCTTGATCAGGCTGGTGGTGTTGTTGCTCCAGCTGAGGTTGTCATTCATGTGTACACCCAAGTACTTGTAGCTGGAGACCACTTCCACCGCAGATCCTCTTATGTTCAGGGGGGTGTAGGTGTTTTTGTTCCTTCTGAAGTCCACAATCATCTCCTTTGTCTTCTTCACATTGATGTGAAGGTTATTCTCTCTGCACCAGCTCTCCAGGTGTTCCACCTCCTGCCTGTAGCTGGACTCATCATTGTTTGTGATGCATCCCACCACCGCTGTATCATCTGCAAACTTTACAATGTGACAGCCTGGATGGGTAGCTGCACAATCATATGTGAGCAGAGTAAACAGGAGGGGGCTCAACACACATCCCTGAGGAGAGCCAGTGCTGAGGGTTATGGTGGAGGAGGAGAGGTTGTGGATCCTCACTAACTGTGGTCTGTTTGTTAAAAAGTCTAGTACCCAGTTGCAGATGGAGGGGCTTAGTCCTAGTGTGAATAGTTTGTCCATCAGGGTTTGGGGGATCATGGTGTTGAAGGCGGATGTGAAGTCCACAAAGAGCATACGGACGTAAGAGTTTTTCTGCTCCAGGTGGTTGAGTGCAGTGTGGACCACAGAGGAGATTGCATCCTCTGTTGATCGGTTCTCACGGTATGCGTACTGATGAGGGTCCTCGTTGATGTTGATGGTTGTTTTGATGTGAGTCATGACCAGTTTTTCGAAGCATTTAGCGACTATCGGGGTGAGGGCCACTGGCCGATAGTCATTCAGACCAGTCACTGTAGAGCTTTTTGGGACTGGGATGATGGTGGCAGTCTTCAGGCAGGTGGGAACTGTCTCCAGGGTAAGTGAGGTGTTAAAGATGTCTGCCAGCACCTCACAGAGCTGATCAGCACATTCCTTCAACACTTTTCCGGGGATGTTGTCTGGGCCAGTTGCTTTGTGCGGATTAATCCTCCTGAAGGTACTCCTTACTTCTGCTGAGGTCACGCTGAGATGCTCTTCATCCGGTGGTGAGGTGAGTCTGGTGCTACGGTACTATTACGGTAATTACGGTACTGACTGGAAATACGAGTTGAATGAAAAGGACAGCATTGGATTCAGGACATGGCATCAGAAGCTGACAGGAAGTAGCAAGAATATAAAAACAATGGCAAACAGTGAGAGGCCTGCAGATTGTGGAGTCCACGTTGCAAATGTTGGCTCCTCCACAACTTAACACAAACCCTTTTTTTTTTTCTTGGATGTTTTTATTTGAGCAGAAAGCGTTGAGAACAGCAGCAGTGAGCCCATCGTTGTCCAAGTTTGTTTACCCTTTAAACTGTTGCCATTGTGAGCGTTTGCACAAAAGTTTGATGTGTTCAGTTGCTTTCATTAGTTCACTAATCGTGTAGCCTGTGATCCCTCATCAGGTGCAGTTAAGGGTGTGATCCCCAGTCTTTCATACAACAATCTGCTGAAACCAGTCTGTTGGTGTGGCTTTTCAAAATATGCACAGACTGAAAGTTGTGTAACGTGTCCCCAACTTTAACCTTGTTCCTGTTGTAACTCTGAAAACCAGCAGGATTTGCTAATGGTTGTGTTCAGTAACCATTAGTGGTACAAACCGATCACATTCTGTGCTTTCAAACGTTGTAGCAACATATTCACTCGCAGTGGTTGGACAACATGGATTACTGAGCTACAAACTGACAGAGGTGAAAAAAATACTACGTTTGTCCTTATTTTATATAAAATTTGTTTTTAGGGTCACGACTCATTTCAGCTGACGGTAAAAGCAGAAATTCTGCTAACTGAACTTGGAAAAGACGCCAGCAAGTCGTAATTTTTCAATTGGAAATCGTTAGACCTTCCTCATTCCACCTGTAAATTTCCAACGTGTTGAAACTTGTCTGTAGTTCATTTATGAATACAACCAGTTTATGTTGACTGGTTTTTACGTCATCTATTGTCACGCTCACATTCTTCATTTTCTACATTCTCTCTCAGGCGCTTGCGATCTCTGCTCACAACTCTGGGCCCCTGGGCCCTGCAGAACGGCTGGCAGGCCCGCTGTGTCCTCAGTGTCTTTTATGAGAGGCGATGGGAGCAGAACCTGGAGGACCTCAGACGAGAGCTCAACATCCAGCCTCCACCACTCAGTTTGATGAAGAACACCTGAAGGAGCCAACAAACATCCCTTCAGGGACTATTTGTATAAAAAAACTGACTGAATCACAGACAAACAGGAAATGTTCGGGATTGCATTTTACGACTGATGTAATTGTCTAGAGGAAACGGGGGAAGTTTGTTCTTTGTAACGTCTGACTTGTTTCAACTTGCATCCTGAATTTGTTTTCTTTCATCAGCTGTTACTCACGCCAGCATCTGCTCAAGTAATGTTGAAATTTTTAATTTCTTATAGTGTTTGACTGCAGGCCTGATTCAACAGACTGTCAGATGAGGTTTTGTTGTGCAACAGCATTAACAGAAATAAATTTCAGGTCGAAATCATCTCTAATACTACATGCGTTATGCTTTTATTTTGTATCATCATCTCAGATCGAGTAGTTTTTTTCTTTATGACCAGCAGAATTTGGTGTCACTATATTTTAGACTTAATAGGTTCCTGATTACTGAAATTAAAAAAATGCACTTGTTACTGAGAAATGAGAAAGCAGCAGCACCTTTTGACTCCTTCCACAAACTGACTTCCTGTTTTAACCTAAATAAATTCATCAACAGAAAGTAAAACTGCACAGATGTGTGATGATCTAATTTAAAACACCTTATTTTTCTCACTCAAAGCACTTTGAAGGTGAAACTTTATCACAAGTCCGAACTGCGTCCAGAGAATCGAAACAAACTTTAAACTTTTACCAGACACGAGCACAAAGAAAGCAATTTTCAGTGTTTGTATTAAACTTTAAACTTGCTTTTGTTTTAAATTTATTTTCTTTTTATGTAACTTTGTTTATTCTTTTATTATACTACGTTCAATAAAATAAAACTCAACTCAAACTTTATTTTTAAACTAATCCGGCATTTGTGAGGAAATGCATGTAATTTCACAGGAAGTGCACCAAAATAAAAGCCCTATAATTCAGGAAGGGAAAAACAAAAGCTTCAGGTGAGAATTGTGATGTATTTTGGGGTCATTTACTAGATGCAAAGTGACCAAAGTTATAGAATAATCAAGTAATGGTGTTCTGGAAGAATTTGCAAATGGTCAACAATCAATTTACCCACAATGCTTAGTCTTATTTAAAAAAAAATACTTGTATTTCACTATTTTGTGTCAAACTCCATTTGAAAATTATCTTTCACACACAAAAAAATCCATTCAACGAGCATCCTGCAGGCCAGATTGTGCCCTTTTTATTATTTCTTTGGCCCCACAAAGCTGCCAGAAACTCAAACTGAATTGTCAGAAAATAATGAAAAATATAAGAATACCTATCACAGCTTCATAAACACCTTCAGTGTCATATGTGTCTAGTAGAAATCGGCATTTGTCAAACAGATTATATTTGGTAAACGATGACAACGGAGAGAATGGGTCAACTGCGCACCTGTAAGAAATCGTCTGATTGGTCCATCCATTCCAGCTTGTAGTATGAATGGAAGATAAGTGCAAAGGCACCATTAGCTATACAAGAACCCTAAAATATATAAACTAGATTTGAAAATGTGACTGAAAGTGAATGGACTGAAAAATAGTTTTTGTTCACAACAGCAGTGTTTAGAAGAGGACGAGATGAAGTACAGTGCTCACATTTTTCAGCTGAGTGTGGAGTTTGCAAGTAGCTTGAGACATTTTATCTCCAACCCACTCACATCTGAAGTTAAATTGCCCAGTTTTAGATCATAAAACCTGAATTTTGTCTTATTTAATCCACCTAAGAATTATGTGGCGCCTCTTGGAGATGAATTACATAATAGTTACTTTGCAGTTTTAAAATACATGCTGACATTTTAAGTTTTATGCTGGTTTTATTTAATTTTATATGCTGTCACAACTTAATGAAAGGTTTGTATGAAAAAAGATGTTACATTTCCTATAAGTATTGTACCTCCTGATATTTCTCTTCAAATGCTGTTTTTTTAAAGAGTTAAATAAAATGCAGCATTATTTTTGCAGGAAAAATATTTACTTTATTGTTAATTATATATATATTTGCACAAAAATTGCCACTGATGACAGCTTGAGGTTATGTTTTAGATCATTTTGTGTTTTGTTTGCCTCCCTGCACACCTCTCTGTAGCAGATTGTTGCTTCTGTTTGACTGGATAGTTCAGTTACATCAGAATGGAACTAAAATGTGGTAAATTTTCAAACCATTAGTTATATTTGCTTGAAAACTGTGAGGATATTAGAATTTATTTATTTTGTCATAAGCCTGTGTTGCCCCCTGGTGGTTCTTGGATGAAACTGCTGAGGGGAAGATGCACAGCAGGAACATGTTTTCTCTCTAAAAAGGTTATAAATCGTTTATTATATGAAATATTCAACTGATTATTCGAAAGCAAAGTCTTGACTCTTGTTACATATGGAATAAACAATATGAGATGCAAATAAACTTTGTCGGTTTCAAGTTATTTTAACGATTTATTGTTATTGTGGACGTTACAGTATCTTGTTGAACCTCTTTACATTCAAAAAACTAATGTTAAATTTTTATTTAGATGTTTAGTCAAGGGTGTATAGTATTTGTAATGTCCTGTATTAAAAATATAAAATTTACCAGAGTGTATTTCAACTATATGCCCTGTAAGCTCTAACATAAACTGAATTGAAAACCTTGATGAGACTAAATTCAGCTCATATAAATTATATATATATATATATATATATATATCAGAAATAAATAAATCAGCAGTAATCAAGTTTACTCAGCAAATTTTAAAATTAATATTAAAATTATAATTAGGACAGTGTGGACACCTGAGCAAGAGTGGTTTAATTCTGGTTCCTTGTTCTTACTACTGTAGTCTACCTAACCACCCTTACCTATATCGTATTTACTAAGTTTTCATAGTTCAAGAACTACTTGATAACACAGTACAATAACTACTTTTTCAATTCTTGTTCTTAAGTTGTGTTACCAAATTTTCACTACTTTTCTTACATTCTTACACTTTGGTTCTCTAAAGCATTTTATTGTTTTCTATCATTGTGCCGTGTGAATTTAATTAGAGATATTAAAGTCTTGACTTATCTCTTAATAACCAAAAATTCTTATTTCTCACATGAAGTTTAAAACCTGGATCAACCAAGCTTTATTACACAGATTAACTATCATCTTACAAACAAAAATCAAACTCCGTCAGTCAGTTTTTTTACATTATGTATGGTACTACAAAAATCAACATACAAAATTATTTAAAGCAAATAAATTGGTAAACTTAAAACAATATAGTAAAAATAAATAAAAAGTGATGCTGTTTGAGGCTATTGCACAGAGTTGTCTCCATCTGCTGTTTCCTCACAGGTACGACCCCACTCGGTTCATCAGTGCAGGATGGTGATGCTGCGGTCCGTCACGGCGCACGCCGGCAGCAGCGGAGCGCTGAAGTGCTGCGTGACGGCGTGCAGGACAGCGCAGGAGTCCGGCTCGTAAAACAGCAGCATCTGACTCGGCCAGTCGAGCAGAACGCCGATCCTCTCGGGTCTCCTCACCACCTGCAGGGGCACCTTCTTCCCCGCGTGACAGTACGAGTAGTCGTCATCGTAGCGAGAAAGCACCCAGGACTGAGCGTTGTTGCCCAGTCGGGCCTCATTGCTGGAACCTTTGCGTTCCAGAGAGGCGTAGCAGACCCCCACCTTAAAGGCGCCGCTCTGACCCACGTCCACCACCCAGCTGTGGGTGCCGGAGGACACAGACAGGGAGCCCAGAGCATTGGGCCACAAGTCAAAGCGAGCGGGGTCGTAGGATGGAGATTGGCGGGGCTTTTTTTGGAGGAAGGTCAAAGTTCGTAGATCGTCGGAGAGGGAAAGGAGGGGGCTCACCGTGCGCTCGTCAAACCTTACCAGAGGTGATCCATATGCTGAGTGGGCAGAAAGAAACGTGAGTTAGTCCAATGCCTGTCCTTTCGTTTAGCATCCATCCCCCACAAACACTTTAATTAACCTTAAAATAAAAATATGAACTGTGCAACGTCAACTGCTGCCAAAACAGAAACGGCCACTGTCAGATTGTTGGTGGAAATGGAGGACTGGACCCTAATGCAGACTGAAAAGGAGGCGCTCAAAGGTAAAATTAAAAAAGGCTTTATTAATAAAGTTAACGAAAAAGTGCTGGCAAGGGAGAGGAAATACTTAAACAAAACTATGAAATAAATAAATGGGCTCATGGAGGAGGAAAGCCAAAAAACACGGACGGCATGAAAGACTAATGCTGAACTGAAAAGCAAACTGAGGAGGAACCATTTCAAGAGACACTAATGAATCCTACACAACACCTGGAGTGATTACAGATCGGGGACAGGTGAGGGTGGCAGGCTGAATGAGAAAACACTGAGGAAGCTGGCTGAGGGCACGAGACCTGAACCAGAACACTGAAACAAAACCTAACAACAAGGAGAAAATGACAAAAGAATAATGAGTTTAACAGAACAGGAAAAAACAGAAAAATCTACAGGACAAACATTAAACATTAACTGCACGGGAATAAAATTAAAATAAAAACTCAAGCAACTAGGGATGCATGATATTGGATTTTTCGCTGATATCTGAAATGTTAAAACTTATTTGGCTGATAACCGATACACCGATATTTTTTTCCCTAGACCTACTTATAGAGACTACATAGCTTTCTCTGTTGGAGTTAAAACACCGCATTATTCTGCACAGTCTGTCAGTTTGACCTGCTACCAAATGCAGATGCTAAAAATGAGGCTGAAATTGATGCAACACTTCAACTTGGATTATGTTTAATGTCAAATTTATTCATGACCTTTACTCTCTCTAACACAATGACAACTCGAACTGTGCAAATTTGTAAATTTTCACAAATCTAAACTCAACCTGTTCACAAGCGACAAGTGAAAAGCTCATAAGTAGAAGTGCATTAATAAATATACTTGACGGTTTCTTAGATTAAAAATTAACTTAAAACAGAAGCCCAGTACTTAGTTATACAATCTTAATAATGAACTCAAATCTCCTTGTCACTGGGTTGTCATA